TTGGAGCCGGCTGGAACTGGCTGGGTCTGGCACGGGGCAGCCCCCGGTCTCCCCTGACAGAGGCCCCTGCAGCCCCAGCTGCCAGCACCTGAGCACCGACACCCAAAACAATTCCGTACTTTCTTTTTTCTTTGAGTAGATGCTTGAATTATTTGGTCAACAGCCATGCCACCCTCTTTTAGATTAGGCAGGCAGAGTACTCCAGAGAATCTGGCTGGCCTTAGACAAGAAGTAAGTTACTGCAGGCCATTGACAGATATTTTAGTTGGTAGTCAAGATGGTGGGTGACTCTTAAAGGATCAGAGGGGTATTTTGAAAATCAATGGCTTGGAAGGGATTTATGGATCAGAAGCTGGAGGAGGGTTAAGAGGGGTCAGTGAAGCGTAGGGTCAAGAGGGGATAGGACAAGGAGGAAACAAAAGTCTATAAGAAATCAAGGATTTCTGCTCCTGCTGCCCCTGAGTCAGCCTAACCCAAGCCTATGGCCATCCTTGCCAGTGGCAGAGGCAGAATAGGCAGGACATATTTCTGTGTGTCATTGAGACTCGTGACATAATATGGTATTGCTTGAAAAGTTCATCATAATTTGGTCCTGACATTCAGTGCTGATAAATTCAGTAAATATCAGAGTGAGCAATGCCATCACCAATACCATATATGGTGGAACATGCAAAAGATGCAGCATTTCCGTAACAACTTTTGCTCCTAGCTGTTTCCATTATGAGGCTTTTACAATATTAAAGCTACATATTTGCCCCTAAGGAAAGTGTATTTGTTCGTTGCTTCCCAAAATAGCTCAGTTTTCAACTGAGTGACAGATAAATATTTTAGATTTGTGCATAGACCACATTGAAAACGTAGCCTGAAAAGGGAAAACATTGGAAAGCCATGATTATCTGACAGTAATCAGAGTGGAATAATGTATATATCTTCAATTTGGGCAACAACCATTGTAGGTTTTGTGATGTTAGAATCATGGCAGAAATCTCTATTCTGAGACAATAGGCGCTATTCTGTGTCTATGTTTGTAAACATACAATATCCAAAGAACATCTGACAGATGTCAGTAGAGGTTTGATCATGACTCACCAGAGCTTGTTCCTCAAATCTGGTAAGGCATGAATCTTCTTGTTGAAAAGAATTGATCATTTTTCAATTAAATTTTGAAATATGATTTTAACTGTAATTCCAAAGTATGGTATGCCTAGCTATCACTGAAAATTTCTCAGAGAAAAGCAGTCACGGAACAAACTAATCCTTGAGGCACATGAAGACTCTCTCGGAGTTATTTCTAGATCTTGGTAATTGAGTTAATACTGGGTAATCATCACTAACAAAAATGGACGCATTTCCGTCAGATGAGTGGAATTATCCTGATTTAATTAGTTAGTGACCTGGCTTGTACATGTTTACGGCCTTTATCCAATTTGCTAGCAAAGGTTAGTATCTTCTGATATTAGTTCGTGTATCAAAGAAAACACCCAGCTCAGACTGAGTCTGATGTTTCTTGCAAGTGGCTAAGAGTGTGAAGTCATTTTCCAAATATGAGGCCTAACAGTTTTTGACTGGGGTTATGTACAGCACAAAATTAATCATTCATTCATCATGGGTAAAAAAGTAATTTAAAAGCACTCTCTTTTGTTTGCTTTGATATTGAAAATCTGTTTGTGCAAACAAATATCAAATTCTGAACTACACCATCTGGGATTCTGTATTTAAAGTGCATAATAATAGGCCTATGTCATGTGATTTTGGTGTCTGCTCTTTTTCTAACTGGCTGAGAATTTAAAAACAGGATAATAATGAATTACAAATACCAAATGGTCTTTTTGCATCAAAGTGCCCTTCCTTACACACACGAATCTCTGGGCTGTTCTTCTAAGATCATTTTGAACTGAAATCTGTTCATATGTGTATTACTAAGTAATTTGGGATAGCAAAAGAGCATAATCAACAGTCCAAAATGAATACTAGAGAGTAGCCTCTATGGACTACCTCTGAATTTCCTGGAAGAGGAAATATAGCACCTTTTTCCCCAGTTTTCCTTCTGCTTTCTAATACCTTTCAAATTCACACTTTCCTGGTACACTTTTCTGCGGCACATCTCATTTTTTGTGTCTGAGGAGAACTTCATTAAATGATATTCATCTTTTGAGTCCTATGGGGGGAGGGAAAGATATAGGAGTTTCCATTTTCAAATATTTTCTTTTTTTTACCTGTGCCTGGACGAAGACTGAATTTAGAAACTGAAGACTTTGCTTGCAACTTGCAAGTAGCAGAGCAGAATTGCATTTGCTGAGCTTGAGGAAGAAAGTCGAAACAAAACCAGCATCAGTTGTAGGAAAAAAATATTCTTGATGTGTTTGGTAACTGCAGGAATGAGTTTACATACTTGACAAAGGAGTAGGATACAGAAATGTCACCAAGAAGGGAATCACCAGGGTCTACTTGACTAATCTTTAAGTTCTTTAAGTTATTTTCTTATTTTATCTGATATTATGTCTACCCAGAATAAAAAAAATTAGACCCAAATTCAGTGAAACTATTAATAACATACTTAAGAGAACCAGGCACTTCTTGGTGTGTTCTTTACATCTGCAAGACTGATCTAAAGACTGTTGGGATTTGATTTAAGTTGTAATAGCACAGGGTGAGCAGATATGACATGTATTAATTCTACTGATGACTGAAACCTGCAGAGCTGTAGTCCAAGCTCTTCCACATATTTCTGAACTGCAAAGGGAAATTACACAAATACAAGAGGATTCAATACACTTTGTGGTTTTGTTTTAAAGGTGCAAACCGTATTATACTAGTTATCAAAATTATCAGATCTCAGTTTTTCTTGGGGAAGAAAAGGGGATAAAAGGTATCAGCTAACAGGGAATGGTGTGCTCAGTTTACCATCATCCTTCAGAGGTGATTATAATTAAGTGTTGTCACAGCATCCATAGTTCCATGGTAATATCTCCATCATCAGGGTCTTCAAATAAAAACTGATTCCTTTATGAGCAGACCACTGTTACTACTGTTTGGCAGACAGAGTTATAGGCTGTATATAGAAATGGCCATGTTTTATGAGAGCCTTAATATCTATACATTTTATAATACTTTCTGTAGAGATGATCAGGGAACATTACATGAAAATAAGTTTTTTATTAAATTATGTAGCAATTTCTATAAAGTGTATCTTAAAAATGCATCCAGCTAAAGCAATATTATCAAGTTGGATGTTTTTAAACCCATTTGCAGATATCACTCCTTTTAATAGTGTGCCTTGAATATTTACTTGAAACATGCCCAAGTCCATGGAGAAGAACAAAAGCAACCAACTTCAGTTTACCCTTCTTCTCTTTTCTCATGTTTCTTGCCATCCACCTCTCCAAGATCCTTTTGGTTGCTAATAACAGGATTGGCAGACACCCTGTTGCATGTCTTATGGAAAAGGCACGTCACCAGCAATCACAGAGCTGGAGTTTCATGAACTCAAGTCAAGTGCATACAGAAAATAAACTTTTGTTTCTTACTTGTTGCAGCATCTTCTTGTAATTGCCCATTTTGCAAATATAAATTTCAAGTTGACAGTATCCTTCTAATTTGAAATTCAGGGGATTTCTAATATTTAGTTTTGAGTCTGTTGATTCATCCCTTTCATGTTACTAAGATTAATGTGAAAACATGTGTACAGATTAAATAGTTTCTTCAGCTGTGGAAATGTTATAGAAAATTGCATCACTATAACAGAACAGAAAGCAAAATGAGAACTGTTACCTGTGATTATTACACTGATTTAGTGCTAAACTTTGATCTAAAGGTAGTTTCTGTCCTATTCAGTAAATTCTATATGACAGGTTCTGCCAAGTAAACTTTTTGCCTCTATTACATTAAATCCTGGTGAATTTGTCATTTTAACAGTTTTTCTGATTGAAACAGAACCTCGTGCCTGTTGAAGTGAATGATAAAATTTCACTTCACTGGGGCAGGGCAAAGCATAAACTTGTGAGATGCAAAGTGGTGCATGGTTTGAAGTTGAGAGCAAAAAGCTGCTATGTATCTTACCTGGACAGCATTCTTTTGAAATTGTCCTGGGATTTACAGACATGCTTTTGCTATTCCTTTTAAGTTGACCAGTCTTTATACTTCTATCAATCAACCTCAAATAATTGAGCTAGAAGCAATACATTAGCTTGATAAGGACACCTGTTCAAGTCAGCTAGTTCTAGCAACATCCTTTCCATTTTATATTAATAGTTGTTTTTATCTCCTGTGCACATATTTAAGTCAATATTTATTAAAATAGTTTTGCAGATTATGACAGGGAGTTTACTTGTTTGCCACCTTGTCTTGATAATTGCATATTGATTTCTTCTTTATATCTAGGATATGATGCTTCAGCTGTTTCGGGGACTGGATTTTCTGCATTCACATCGTGTGGTGCATCGCGACCTGAAACCCCAAAATATCCTTGTAACCAGCAGCGGGCAGATAAAGTTAGCCGACTTTGGCCTTGCACGAATCTACAGTTTTCAGATGGCTCTTACCTCAGTGGTAAGTTTCTGGAGGCTTTTATTTTTCTTTTAATGCACGAGTGTGCTTTACTCTCTATGTTCCTGGCTTTTTATCCCATATTACAATGCTGTTTCTAAAACCATCTCTGCAACTGAAGTTACTTGTGTCTCTGAAAACAATTGCTTTCCAGCCAGGATTGAAGTTGTTGCGGTTGCTTTGTACAGGTAATCAATTACTGACTTCTGGTTCTAAATCAAATCATGACCGATTACGGAAGGATAGGTATGTGCTAGATTTCTGAAACTCCATCATTAGCTTCTGTTCTGATACTAACTTCTTTTGCACATTAAGCCAGACAGGTAGGGTGAAAGTGTCTGAAGTACCTATTTTAAGGTAAAACTCTTGCTGATCCCCAGGTATCTTGCCTGAAAAAATACACAGAAACTTGTGAAAGTGCCACACTGTCATGCCTCTGATTTTTCCATCTCTGTGAATATAGGTTTGACGCTTGCCCCCATATGTTACTGAACAATTCCAAATGGGGGTGTGCTAGAGTCAGGTCAAGTGGACCTGGCAGCCAAAATCACAGTTATTTCCCAATCCAGCTGTTAAAGAGCACCTCCAGTATATCTAGGTCCCCTGCCACTGTTGTCCCTCTCCCAGCAGTTCTCCTGGTTGTCCTTGTCTCAGACATGAGCACACTCCCAGAAGGTCTGGCCCTCTCCTGCATTAATGCTGGTAGAGAAGCCCTGCCAGTTCCTCGGTTTTTGACCCCATTTCCACACTTGCTGGCCCTGCCCCCATAATCAGATGCTTGGCACAGCATCTCTGATGTGTATTGAAGAGTAACCGTGCTGCATGCATGTTGGGTGTCGTTTGGTTTTGTGGCCTGCTCATGAATTTTTTTGTTTCCATTTTGTATTCTGAGTATCACAACTGCCGTGGCAGTATCACTTATGGTAAAGACAGGAAAGGGAGAACTGCTGAGAAAAGAAACTGAAAGGAGTCCACTTCGCATTTTACGTTGTATTGTAGAAATTAGCCTGGCTCACATTGATGAAAAGCAATCTGTTTTATTATTAGTTACTGTAAGAGTCTTCCCATCATTGTGTGGGTTCCGGCTTCAGTGTGAATGAAGGCAGGAAGCAACAGAAAATTATATCATCCTCTTGCTAAACTTATGAAAGTATCCTCCTTGCATAAAGTGTGTGTAAACTTGTGTTTTGGGGCTGGTTTTTTTCATTGCCCATAGGATGTAGCCTAATCCAAAGGTGAAAGAATCTCTCTGCTGAGGTCAGTGAGGACTGATCATCTTGTAACTTAAAACAGAGCTTTGAAGAAAAGGAGAGAATAGTTGTTCCTGAACTGCTGTTATTTTTCATTTTCCAGTTATCAGTCAGTAACAGCTTCAATGAGTATTTCTATCGATTCATAAAATTCTTTAAGCTAAAATTGCAGAGTGTTGTAAGGCTTCCAGCAGGGCGTTTTTTGAAAGTTCTGCATAAAACGAGGAAAAAATATCTGCAGAACCGAGCAGGAGTTTGTCCATGATCACATAGCCTGCATAGGAAGGAAGGTCAAAAGACCCAGAAATACAGTGCATCTACTGAGGCAAAAACACACCAAGACCTGCTTGTAAGAGAACATTGCCAGAACTGCTATGCAAAGGGTGCATGTATGCTCAAGTATCTAATACTGGCATGCTAGAAATCGTGTTTCAAAACCCATTAGCTAGTACCCTTAGCACTGCTGTGAACAAGAGTTGCTCAAAGGGATTGTCCACACGCAAGTTTGTACTGCGTTCACATAAGCATTCAATTGTCTTTGCAGCTATGCTAAAGATTATTAAAATAATTGACTTATTCAGTGACCAATGACGAATAAAGTATATGGGCTTAGGCATGAATAATGACTTTCACACCTAGAACTTAGCGTATCATTATTTTCATATTTTAAAAATCCAGCTATGACCATGGCTTTTGTAAGTTAAAAATGTATTGGTCTTAAAACACTTAGTGTTTAACACCTTGGAAATCAACTTTTGTCTGGGTATGTAGAAACCTATAGGGGACTGTTGCTTACAATGTGATAATGTGGTATGGTTTTAAAAGTCAGTCTTCGTTGCTCCTACAGACTGAGTGCTGGTTAGAAACTTTTACTAAATGTGTATTAGCTGACACACGCCATCAGTTTTCCTTTTCCAAATGTAACTTTTGCCTTTGGCTAGATGCTTTGGTGTGCAAATTCTTCTTTTTTTTTCCCTCTATTAAAACTCAGTACAGGAAACAAAACTTTAAAAAAACCCCAACCTTCTGTTTCTTAAGTATAAAGATATTCTTGACCCTACCATTCCCGTTTTGTTTTGAAGTGTTTGCAGAAAAAAAGTTGCATTATAAAAGTCAGCATACATCTACACCTAAATCAATTAATAGAAGTCCTAGCTCACAAGGATTTGCTTTGGAGTTATATGAAAGGTGGCAGCATAGACAGCGCAGTGATAAAGCACACTGCGTGCGCTATCATTGTGATCAATACAAGGGCTCTGCAGCATTTCCTTCAGAAGAAAAGGTTACTGCAAGATAAACTACAAGAATCATCTTTTGAAGTATCAGATCATTCCCAAGATGCATCCTCATTCACTGCTCACAAAGAAACTCTTCAGATGGGACAAAAAGACCTTGCCATGAAAGTAACTCAGTAAAAACCGATCCAACCCGAGTACTCTGGGTGCTGCAAATGGTAACTTCAAAGCAGTCTCCCTCTGATAGCCAGTTATTTCCACAGTGCTAAAGAATCCTTCTGGCAGATCAGTCATCCGGGCATATTGCTGTCATTTAAAGAAACCTCTTGATATTTCTGTCAGTGAATGAATAAAAGATTCAAACTAGTGTTACACAGGCTTGGGGGGGCAGGGTGGAGATCACTCCCAGCTGTGGTCAGACTGAGAACTGATACAGGTCTGAAATAACAGCACTAGAAAGAACGAGGTCGGGCGGCGGTGTCTCAGATGGTGGGTAACAGGGCATGCTTTTGGTTTCGTACAAAGTTAGGCTCTTTTTCAAGTGTTGGTCTTGGCCCTTGGGGAAATTCTGAATAGGCTTTGTGATAACAGAGAAGCTCTGTAGGACAGAGGAGGTGGATTGATGTGACTGTGTAATTTTAGAGTTTGATAGCAAAAGCTAATGAACTGTCACTTTTTTTCCCCGGTGCAGAAAAATGGGCACTCAGCTCTAACTGTCTCTGAGCAAAGCAGCAAGTGGCTGTCTGGAAAATCTGAAGTTATATTATGAAAAAGAAATAAGCCATTTATCGATTTTTATTGACTTCTGACTGCCTTAAAGAAAGGAAATGAAGCTGAATCAATGGCACACGAGAATGCTAAGTGAGATAAGTGCACGCATTTGTGATCACAGCATCTAGGTGGAGCCCAGGCTGTCCAGCTTTTAAAACCTGACCTGCATCAGGCAACACGTTAGTGTTTGTAACACACTCATAATACTTTCTTTGAAAACATGTGTGCTTTACCTTAGATGGCAGCACTGCTGATGGGTTTTTTCCCAGGAAATGCAAACAAAATTGTTTTATGTCTTCCTTTTAAAAAAAACCCCACTGGTTTTCAGATTTACTGAACATTAGAAGGGAAAACACATCACTTTCTCTGCTGATGCTCTAAGTTGTTGAACACTAGACTCAGCTAAACTGACGATTAAAAAGAGAAGACATAAAAAATCCTGCAGTTACTGTCAGTGAATAATTTTAGATTATACTAGCATTTTATTTGAGTGTTTCTTCAAGATGAAAACTTTCCATCCATTTCTGGCAGTCACTTCAGCACAAATGGTTTACATGTCACATCATGCAGGAACTTGGATTTCATTTTGTTGGTATAGTAGCAAGGGAGCATAAAATAATTTTCACTAACTGGGCTTACTTTGTAAAAATAAATATATAAATTAGTTACAGCAACAAAAACAACAACAAAAAAAGACAGAAAAACCCTCGTCCAAAAAGAACGAGTGCTTTCCTGTTTTCTGCCACTGTTGCATTGTAATTTTCTAATAAATGCCACCTGTTAGTAAATAATGTGAAAGTAAACTCTCGTCTGAGCTAATATGATAGTTGAGAGCACAGTCAAAGAACTTTCTTTTGCTTTGCCTTATTTTTGAGGGGTTTTTCCCTTTTTTTATGGACATCTCTTCATGATGCTATGCTTCCCCAAATTCACATATTCGTTTGTATTAATATATCCTGCAGAGTCCATTCCTATGCTGTGTATGTTCCAGCAGACCTGGAGACTGTTGCAGTACAGCTTTAACCTGGGATGCATTGGATATCCCTAAATGTACCTAATTCAACAACCTATTTAAAACTTAGAGTTAACATCAACCATAGGAATAGACCTATGGAAATTAATCCAGCACATGCCTCTGGTGAATCAAAGTCATAATCTAGGCTGTGTTAAAGAGTGCCCCAATGGAATCAGTACAGTGACACTAGATTTTATCTCATACATAATTTGATAAGAGCATAAATCTTCCTCCCTCTGACAGGCGAAAGTGACATCATTTTGGTATGCACTGAGCCTTCACTGTTGTGAGGAAGCACATCACCTTAGATCTGAGCCCTGATCTCCAGTTCTTCATGGTGCATTTCTTCAGTCCACCCAAAGGTCCCTGAAAATGAAAATGAGTCACAGACATCCAGAGGATCAAAATATGTGTTGTTGAGCTTGTCAGTGCTGCTGCTGAAAGGTTGTGGCTATTTAGGAATGCAGTATGATTAAATTGGTTGGCTTATTTAAGGAAAATCTGTCTTCCCTACTAAAGAGTTCTGCATAAAACGTCCATGTATCTGGCTTTGTGAGGAAACAAGTGAATTTCTCTGATATTTTAACATCTGGATAGCTGAAGGAATCTTTAATGCATCCTCCCAAACACCCTATAGGAAAGTTATTGCCATCGCATAAAATGAGTCATTTATCACCGGAGCCATCTTGAGAACAAAAATCATTATCGGCACGTTGACAGTAAAGTCTGCAG